GTCCGCGTTTAAATCGGATGTATGGACTTACTTCGGATTTGTAAACAAGGAGGGGATGTAAGTAGGGATGCACCGAAAATATAGGCTACATATAATAACAATAATAATATGCTGCGTCGCGCCCCGCCCGGCAGTGTTCAGTGCGCATGTTTCACTCTCCTCGTCCCTGCGCGGTTTGACGCTCCGCTCAATATTCGTGTGTGACGCTGTGTTTCGTTGTGAAAGTGAAACTACTTTGTTTGGCCTAATTAAATGATTGTGCAGCGATTTATACAAATACAGACATGTTTGTGAATAAAAATGTTCTGTTCTGAATTAATATATCATAAATTTCTCATGCAAAAAGGAATCTGTGCATATGTGGATCAGGTGACACGCGTGCATTAATTGATGTCTAGTTCGAGTCGATCTTTTTCGGTTCATTTGGATTTTGAGACTTCATTTTCGCAGTTTACAGCATTTCACGTCCCCCCTATTATTTTTAAAGGGATTACATGTTTTACCTCTAGTTACTTTGTTGCATGCACACATAACCCAAGGCAACAATAAATAGAATTGTCTGTACAATATTTGCAGTAGGTCTACGCTACCATTCAAAGGTTTGGGGTCAGTAAGATATTTTGTTTTAATTTATTTTATTTTATTTTTTAAAGAAATTAATACTTTTATTCAGCAAGGATGCATTCAATTGATCAAAAATGACAGTAAAGACTTTTAAATTGTTATTTCAAATAAATGCTGTTCTTTTCAACTTTCTGTTTATCAGAGAATCCTGAAAAAATGTGTCATGGCTTGCACAAAAATATTAAGCACCACACTATTACTGTTTTTATTTTTTATTTTTGATCAATAAATGCAGCCTTCATGAGCATAAAAGACTTTTGTCAAAAACAATTTAGGTAACGCTTTGTTTCAATAGTCTACTTTAGACATTCTGCTTACTATAACTTGTCAACTACTGCAACTACATGTCAACTACCAGTCATTAGAGAATTACACATTATTTATTGTTCCCTCAACAGACATTCTATTACATTCTACTATAAGTATCAACTTATGAGAGTTAGTTGACATGTAGTTGCAAAGTTGCTTATAGTCAATGGACTAAAGGGGACCATCAAAATAAAATGTAATCTAAAAAAAACACGCGTTGCATTTTTTCATTTTAAAGTATTACAACTGGTCTTTAACTAGCTCACAGCAAAATGAATATTAACCTCACAGGAAACATTCAAAACAACACTCAACCACTCCTAACCACTCACAAGATGTAGTAAGATACTGTCCGTTGACAACAGATGTTATCAAAGTTTTACTTTGGGGACATAATTTGAAGTTGGAAAAAGGTAATAAATTGCAATATATCACAGAATATCGTAATATATTTAAAATCGCAATAATATTGTATCGTGCCACAAGTACCGTGATAATATCGCTGAGAAATGTTTCTTTTTAGTTAAAACAGATGTTGTCAAAGTTTTCCTTTGGGGACATAATTTGAAGTTGGAAAAAGGGAATACATTTCAATATATGGCAGAATATCGCAATATTTTTAAAATCGCAATAATATTGTATCGTGACACAAGTACCGTGATAATATCGTATCGTGAGACCTCTAGTGATTCCCACCCCTACCAGCTATCCAGTGCGTTGTGATTGGCCGAATACCTCAAGCGTGTGATGGAAATGTTATGCCCCTTACCATACTGTGATGCCCTATGTCCCGGCGCGACAAGACAAAAACAATAAAACCCATTACAAACTAGACATTTGTTGCATCCAGTGGGGACATAATTACTGATTATAATGACTTATACTGTCTTTTTACGCATTGCATTGTGTATCGCGCCGTGTAAACATAAAACCATGTCTGCATTTGTGATCGGAGAAACAACAAACAACAAGCGCTACTCTACACTGCTCAAAACTCGCGTTTGAATCGTCAGTGGCAAATTCTTTAAATATACTCAATACACTTCTTTAAATACACTCAATACATTTGCATTAGTGCAGTCATATCTGACTATAATGTCATATAGCCTAGCTATAACACGCTCTCACACATTAACATTTTGGGAGAAGTAAAATTTGCATATGTGGTTTCAACAACCAGATGCATTTACACTGGTCCAGTTTCGTCTGGAATGCAGCAGACCACCTCCTGAAGTGGTTTGAGCGATCGGATTTATATCTGTCTCGAATGCGTTTCAGAGGGCATTTACACCTGATCTTTTCACGATCGGATAGCTATCCGATCAGACAAAACGCATGAAGTGACCAGGTGT